TTGCAATGTGTTTACGTTGTTGTCGTAGATAATTTGGTTAAGGCCTTAGGGTTAATTTACTCATTATGCTATAACATTATGTTATAGCATAGTGATGTTTACAAAAATTAATTTAATTAATACCTAATAGACATAGCTTATATGTGTATTTAACAAAAACAACATTAACTAAAATTTTCTTTATTAAAAAAAAAAGTATTCATTTTGTTATAATTCTTTACGAGACGTAAATAATTATGTTTTTTTTTATAATTTTATTACAAAATAATTAATATTATAAAAATATTTTTAACATAAGTTGAATCATTAACAATATGCTATGTATAGCAAGTTGATTTTGATAGACATATTTTACAATAAAACCAATGTCATACTAATAAATAATATAAATTGAATTATTAATTATTTATAACGAAATACTTTTATTTTTAAATTACTAATCTAGCAACCATTTTCCTATTATTCATTTCGTGTTATTTTTTAAAGATATGATCATAGTCCTAACAAGTAACAAGTGAGGCCCGAGTAGGGGATTCATTGTCCCATCCACAACCCGACCTTGACTCAAGGAATATTCATGTTTTCGGCTAATACGATTTTAAGTTTTCATTTTAGATGTTGTTCGATAGGATTATAATATAATATTTCATATGCTAAACCGTACAGAAACAGACAAGATTACATAAAAGTCATGCACAGTTTTTTTAAAGCTATTTTAGCTTAGATTCGAAGCTTAGAAGGTATTTATTCTTAAATTGTGTGTGTGTGTGTTTTTTGTTTGTGTCTGGTAACTTTTTTGTCTGGCCGATTTTTTTTTTTTCATTATTTGGGGTCTCCTATACATGTTAAAAACTTAGGTATACCACTCGGTACAACAACGTTCCAATGGAATACAGCGGAAGACCGTATAGTTTGATAGGAATTATTTATGATTTTAGGCAAACAGCGAAACAATTACGCACACAATTGGTTTACAACATAAGCGGCTCGTGTTTTATTTATCAAATAAAAATAATGCACATCAGACAGGTTTTATGTAATAACGCGAAGCCGAGTAAGTTTTTTAAATGTCGCCGTCCGTCTGCGGAGTTGGTGGACTTGGAAAAGAAGTGGTTTCCTCGCCTGCGTCGTACACGAAACCCAATTCCGTATAATACTTTCTGCACACCTCATCGTACACTAGTCGACTGATTTTTACTGCATATTGATATGCGATGTCGAGCGGTGTCGGTCTTTTTCGATAATCAGCTTTAAACGAACGGATTTGCGCGCTAACGCTCGGGCAAGCCGTTTCCGATACTGTGCAAAAATTGTCTAAGAACGGCAGCACGTTGGTTTTGGCTTGGTCGTTGAGAAACAATAACAATCTACGAGAAAACACACGCACTTTTGCGTTGTAGTCGGGGTCCGTGTCTCCGATGTACGTTTCTACGACCAGGTTTACATTTTTGGATACATCTTTAAACCGTTTCAAGCAAGGCAGGATCGCCATTACCAGCAACCGGGTAAACCGGTCGAACGTTTCGTCCGACGGCATCGTGTCGGTTAAATACTTCAATGCGCTGTACATACGGTCAAACATTGAACCACTGTTGGTCAACTGAAGCAAAGCGAAGTTCATGATTGTCCAAGACACGCTCAAGTCCACACACACTCCCTCGTCAGTCTGCCTGTCGTGCGGACGGTCGCCGTTTTCTTCACGTCCTTCGAGCGATTCGTCAACATGGTTTTCTTCTTCTAATTGGTCCTCTTCTTCCGCTTCCGCGTCTCTTGATATTCGCACATTTTGTCGATACTTGGCTTGCCTTCTAACGTTGCTTTTCGCTCTGTTGCACACCTCTAAAATGCTGTTGAACAAATCAATAAATTTCATCACCGCGTTCACGTAGACACATGCTACCAAATGAGTGACCATATATTGTCTTACGCTTTCGTTGTGGTCGCCGACGAATGTGTTCGCTGAGTTTTCGTTGTCGACAAACAAATTGCCCGACACGAATAAATCTTTTCCGGTGAACGATGCGAATCCGTTGTCTTCGAATCGATATTTGGCTCCCACGTTGCCGATCCGGTCCCATCCTGGAAAGCTCAAAATTGCATCTAACTGGTCAGCTAGTGACGGTTTTGTCTCTTGTGCACCGAACGATTCTTTACAAATCAATACCGCGTAAATCAGTACACCGATTAATACGTGGCAAAACATATCGTTTTCAAGTGGAATTCGTTTTCGGGCTTTTAAACGGCTGTGAATAGTCTAATCATAAAAACGTATGGTAAAATAAATTGGTTCGACGTTGCTTTCCATAGCAAAGAACCTAAGCGTTGTTATTACAAATACCGTTCTCACATTTTTCATTTTCAATGTCAAAACGTTTACCCAGCCCAAATATTTAATTTAATTTTTACAATATATTGCCACGAGCATGAAGCATTAGTAATATAATATGAATTTTCTTTCGTTGCGTGCATATTGTACAATTATTAATCGTTTATTTATGAAACGCGATATGTCACGATTTTGTTGAAAATTACTTTTTTTTAATAAATATGTTCTGTGGCCATAGACGAAGTAAACGATCATAAGATTTACTTATTAATTATTTAGTATGTTCACAATAAGATATCAACAAACCTAACAGTTCGTCCAATATACATTTTTTTGTTAGGTCTTTAGTCTAGAAATAAAACTGAAATCAATTGTTGTCGTATACGCCTGTATTAATTAAACCATAACCGGTAAGTTGATAAAATTACAATTTGGTTATATTTTTTCATAGACTTTCCTGTTAATCATATTTGGTATTAATACAGGTACTTTAAAAGTAATATGGCTGTAATAAAAATGTGTATGATTAAAAAAATGAAGAAATGAGTTATCAACACGGTCTTATGGGATTTTTGGCGGCAAATTCGAAAATGTTGATAGCCTCAAAACATATCAGAACACGCTAGATTTAGCCTTGAAAGTTGTGATTAGTATCAAAACTAACAAGTTCCATTGTATTATGTGAACATTTGATACTGGAGGCTATTTTAGTGGTATCTTATTGTTTATCGTTTTGTGTCAAAACTCACATCTTCCAAACTTCAACCTCGCAAAAAGACATAGATAACGAATAAAAACTAAAACTTTGAAGACAGATTCGAGTTTTTTAGTTGAAGAGTTGATTATTTTTGTGTAAAAACAAATATGTTTGGGAAACTGCAGAATTATATGGCAATTATGAGATAAATTGTATTGCCTAAAGAATCGTTGAGTAAAGAGACTCGAGAAACGCACAATAAGAATATTATAGTTTTAGAAAATATCGGTCCAGAAAATCGTAATTAATACCGATATACAGGGTGTTTCACAAAGATATAACAAATGAAATAACTTTTGTTCTAGTGAATATTTTTAAGATTTTAAATACAAACACGGTTTTATTGCTCTTAACTGTTTTACTTTTTTAAACTGTTACATTTAATTTTTAAAATTTTAGATAACCATTTTATTATTAATAATTTACTGAGCATTTTGACGGGTCGACAACCATTTTTGGATAATTACTTTTAATGTTATTTGAGTTTAAAGTTTAGACGGGAGGTGGAGTGCGGTAGAGTAGGTCCACTCTTTTCTATTCACTAGAAAAAAAAGGTATTTCAATTGTCATAGCTTATTTTTTTTGTTAACGTTTGGCTATGTTTGTTAAAAATCAAATCTTAAAAGTTGAGTTATTAAAACTATTTAAAGATAAACTTTTAATTTTTATGTCAATACAAAATAATAATAATAACTGATATAATTTTTACCGTATCAATTTAAATTTACAATCTGAAATATCACTTAAGTTATCGAAAACATTTAAATAGTTAATATTATATTCCGTCGTATAGTAAATAAGTAATGAAAGTGCATTATCAGAAACACACACTTGATAATAATTTATATTGATTATCCTTGACAAATTAAAAAAGCTGTACTAATTCATAAGGTCGAACGAATGTCTCTTACGACGTTCTTAGCGAATTAACTGATTACTAGTTTTATAAGTTTTAAAAACGATTTTGTAACTCAAAATACGACCCATTTAAATAAATTATAACAACGGGTGTTAGTACTTTTTTTTTATGCAAAATCGGGTATACGAGTTGTGAAAAAGTTGTTATACATGCATATATTTTGGTTTTAATTAAATTTTACAATAATATTTATTGGTTTTACCGAGTAAAAATTAAATGTGTCGTTTGACACCATTTATACGCGCAATACGCTTACAGTATTCAGCTACACTGTACTTTCCAACCTGATCCAAATTATTTCATTAAGATTAAGTCTTCTCATATTATTTATATTTGAGATTCCAAATGATGAAAGTTTTGTTTAGTTATTTCTCTGCAAGTGCATTCATTTTACTAAAGATATATTTATGTCTCATACATTTAAAAAATGTTCGTTTCTAAAATAATAACACTAACTGGATGTCGTTTTTTACTTTTCACCACTACTATTCTTACGATTGACACAAATGTGGAAAAATTGATAATGAATAGAATTGGGCTTAATATACAATTATATTAATCTTTGACATTATTAAAATATAGTTAGTTAAAATGTTCTTTAACACTTGGTTACACAGAACGAGTGTAATATATTGTTTTAATAGAAACGCCTCAAATATATTTTGAACGCAACTAAAGTTACAGAAAAATATTTTAGTTGTATGGTTGGTATTTACAATAATTAACAATTAATTGTTGGATTTATTTTACTGATGCCCATTGCATACCTTATATTTGTATTTTTATAATTATATCATTATTATACTATTTTAATGAGCTTACCTTGTGAGTTAAAATACAAGAATCACAAAAATACAATAAAATAAAATATTGAGTTAATACAATATTTTAACATTAAAATTCGGTATTGTTATTAAATATCTTTATTATCATTAGGTTGGTCATACTGTATTGCAGCATATGTAATCAAAATATCAAGCGGCAGCGGGCAGCGGTAGGCCGCAGCTTGGCAGTGAGTAAATTGTAATTCGTAGTAGCGATTTTATCTATAAACTAAGGTCTAAGTATAAACTATACATTATACAGTATAAAGTCTAATCGTTGATGGTTTAATGTTTTAGTTAATTTACAAAGTATTTTAATTTAAAGATTCAAGACATTTCTTATTTTAGCTGAAAGTAATTTTTGGGAGTGAAGTGTTCTCAGGCATCATGAGTCGCCGCCGTTTTCAGGACAGCTACGAAGACCTATACAGTTAGTATATTTGTATACTTGTTATTTTTTAATTTAAAACAAACTTTTGCAGTTTTGTGCAGCGAAAGCATAATTATTGTTCTCATGCTTTAATTATTGGACGTAAAAAACAAAACGGGAGAAAAATGTATCTTGTTATTGTTGTAATAGTTGCATACACAATCAGTTGTTCATATTGTATTCTTAACAATTTTGTAATCAATTTTTTCTTAAATTTTATAGCAAGATAAATTAGAAAAGGTTTTTTCAATTATCATGCACTAAAATATAAATGGAAATTTATGGTTTGATTAGTACCTAGATATTTTCAAAATAAATGTTACGATTTTTGTTTTAAATAACTTTTATGATAACAATTTTTATTTTTATTTTTTAAATCATTATTTTCATTTTATGTTAATTGGTATTACAAATTATTTAGCTATTATTAGTCTCAATTTTTATTTATATTTAGAATAATAGTAAATTTTATATTTTTGTTAAATTTACTATTCTTTTTTATGTTCATTTACGCTGTCATTGGCAGATTAAGTGGCCTCATAGAATATTATTATAAACGTATTTAGATTAATAGTATTATTACTTATTTGTAACTGTTAATGATTCGCTTTATTATGTTTAGGCGCAGACCGAGCTTACAAAAAACGCCGTCGTGGCGGTTCTGAATGCGATGATTTAGAAGACAGATTACAGAGTCTCATACTAAAAATTGGAGAAAAGGTAACAATTTTTGTTAAACTTTTAATCTATGAACTTGTAATCTATAACTAATATTCTATTCTTTTTTTTTTAGACGTCCAGTACATTGGAAAGTAATTTAGAAGGTTTAGTGAGTGTTCTAGATGGTGACTTACAAAACTTTAAGAAAAAAGTACTGAAGTTATTAGTCGACTGCGCTGTTAACATGCCAGAAAAGTGTACTATATATTCAACGTTAGTGGGTCTGTTGAACGCTAAAAGTTATAATTTTGGTGGAGAGGCAAGTTAGCTCAATGGATTAATTTTGTTTTTAAATTGTTTTAATGTAATTTTACTTCTTTATACAGTTCGTCGAAAACATTGTGCGTTCCTTCAAAGATTCCTTGAAAAATAATTCTTGGAATGAAGCTAGAGGTGTTTTGCGGTTTATCGGTGATTTGGTGAACTGTCATGTTGTATCTGCAAGCTCTTTTGTACAGCTGATGTCCAGCTTGTTGGACGTAACAAAAGAAGACGGAGTTCCTAATGTACGAAAAGACTGGTAAGGAAAATTAAAATATGTCATTAATCATTATGTAGCAGGTTATTACAATTTATTATTATTTTTTTTATAAAGGTATTGTTATGCAGTTATGTCATGTTTGCCGTGGGTAGGGCGGGAGTTGTATGAAAAAAAAGAATCAAATTTAGAAATGTTATTGACCACGATTGAAGTGTACTTGAACAAACGTCCAAAAAAACATGTTAACATGTTGAGAATATGGTCAACGGACGTGCCACATCCACAAGAAGAATACTTGGAATGTCTTTGGAACCAGATAAAAAAACTCAAACACGATAACTGGACAGAGACCATCATACCAAGACCTTATCTTTCCTTCGACAATGTGCTGTGCGAAGCTCTTCAACACAATTTGCCTGTCATTGTACCACCGCCTCATCATAATGCTTGCGTGTATCCAATGCCTTGGGTTGTATACAGAATGTTTGATTACACTGATGTTACCGATGTGAGTTTTTAAAAAAATAAAATCCTTACTTTATTACTATTTTTTGTTTACAATAATGTTTTCTCACGTATGTTTAGGGTCATATCATGCCAGGGGCCCATTCGATTGAACGATTTCTCATAGAAGAACATTTGCAACAGATTATTGATATGTCTAGTAAAAATAGAAAAGAGTGGTAATAATTTTAATGTTATGTATTTTTAGTTGAGTAGTGTAAGGATATTGTGTAATTTCTTTTTTACGTTTTTTTTTACTAGCGCAACAAATTTGATGAACTTTGTACACAAAAATAAAGTTCCTTTGGAATATTCTATTGTAGAAGTGATCTTCAGTTTGATGTTCCATCAGCCGAAACCAAAATATTTAGAAGTCATGTTCGGTTCTGTATTTATCGAACTGTCAAAACTTTCTACCAATACAATGCCGCTTGTGTTAGCTCAGACGACAGAAATATTGTATTCACGTATTGAATCTATGCACGTTTGTGCTTTTGATAGGTTTGTCGAGTTATCAACTGTGGCTATATGACAAACTGTTCGATTATAATAGTGTTTTTTTTTTTTATAGATTCGTCTCTTGGTTTGCATATCATTTAAGTAACTTTAAGTTCAGTTGGTCTTGGCAAGAGTGGGCCGATTGTTTAGCTTTAGATCCTGAACATCCAAAACCTAAATTTGTGCGAGAAGTACTTCAAAAAGCCATGAGGTACATTTATTACAATTACGACAAAAAAAATACTATTGTAATGTATGTTTTTTTTTTTGCTTAATAGGTTATCGTTTTATGAACGCATGCGTGATATAGTTCCTGTTGAATTTGAACCGCTGTTACCTGAAAAACCAGATCCAAATTACAAATATTTAATGGAAAAGTCCAGTAAGTTGTTTGCTTTTGTTAATAACAAACACTTTGTAAAATGCATTTATTAAAATTATTCCATAAATTTTTTGCACAGAACTTCCAGGTCAGATTTTAGCCAATACGTTGTTAGCGAAAATACGAGCCAAAGCAACTCCCGAAGATATTATTGAGATATTAAAAGAACCTCTATTGTTAGAAAATGGAGAAATAATGCAACCGGTCGATACTGGACTAAACAATCCCATTAAAATTGATGCTTTTGTTCAAACATTGTTGTACATAGCGAGCAAGTCATTTTCACATGCATTTGCGGCTATAACAAAATTCATAATTGTGTTTAAGGTAATAATGGGGTTAATATATTTTAATAGTCTTAATTTAATTGATTGATTAAATTAAAAAAAATAAAATTATGTATTACGAACACTTACAGGCTTTAGGAGAAACTGATGATGGGCAATTACAAATTTTACGTAGCACTTTTGATCTATGGAGTGCCAACCAGCAAATGTTAACTGTACTAATCGATAAAATGTTAAAAACACAAATTGTCGAATGTTCATCGGTCGCTAATTGGATTTTTTCAAGGGAAATGGTGCCAGAGTTTACAAAGTAAATGCTTTTAATAAATAAACAACTTACAATTTGCAGTAATAAAAATAAATGCATTAATCTAAGAAGAATTATAATTGTAATTTTAGACTTTATATATGGGAAATATTATCGCTGACAATCAACAAGATGTCCAGACACGTAGATCGGTTAACGAGAGAATTAAACGAAGCCAGAGAAAAATTAAGAACCACTGCGGCCGCCACGTCAAATAGTTCAGACGACAGTGATACAGAAACAGAGAAAGTCGAAACCAAACCACCGACTCGACAGTCGACTACTACATTTGGAGGTCAGGTACCGATGGAAGTAGACGATAATGTTACAGAGGAAATGGTCGAACGAATGGAAGAAAAATTAGAAATGGCTCAAGCCGATCAAAAAAATCTGTTTCTGATTGTTTTTCAGGTAAACGTTAAAGAATGTTAAGTTTTTTAGAGTCTTATCTAAATTATGATTTATCATTTCAGAGGTTCATCATGATATTATCAGAACATTTAGTAAAATGTGATACCGACGACAGACCATTTGATACATACTGGTATAAGTACACAATCGGACGACTTCAACAAGTGTTTTTAGCCGTGAGTCCTACTGTGACTTTAACAAATAACTTGAGCTTGTTCAGTAATTTTGATTTTTTCTGTTTTTATAGCATCACGAACAAGTGCAAAAATACAGTAGTACACTAGAAGGATTACTCTTCACGCAGGACTTGGATATACACATTCTTGAAGTATTCCATCAATTCTTAGCTCTCCGTTCATAAATATTGCTACTGGTTGTGCATTTCAACATGTGACTTAATTATTAATTTACTTAGTTTTTACTACATAGATAGATTAAGGTTTTGATATTTATGTCCATTCCTCGTTTATGTTCCCTCATAATTATTATGCTTTTTTTTTGAAAAAAAAAAAAATTATTTTATTCTGTAAACTATTAAAATCACAATAACGAATTTTAACATTTATATGATGGCAATTATATAAAATTATTAATGTTTTATAAAATATATCGTTTAAAAAAAAAAAAAATTCCTACAAATCATGCGTGTTTGTTGTACATTTCCAAAAGTTCGTTAACATCATCTTTGGAACCTAAAAATATTGGACACCTCCCATGCAAAGCTGTAGGTTGTATGTCCAAAATAGGTATTTTACCGTTGGACGCTACGCCACCAGCTTCTTCGATTATGTATGCCATCGGGTTGCCCTCGTACAATAAACGCAACTTGAAGATAAAATAAAGAAACATAATAATTAGTCATGTAAACCAAATAGTTAATGTCCGTAACGGAGGAAATTTAAATACTTTGCCGTTTGGAGATTGTTTTGAGGCTGGGTACATGAATATACCTCCGTACTTGAGTGTACGATGTACGTCGGCCACCATCGAACCTACATATCTCGCTCCATAAGGTTTTCCATACTAAAAAATATATATATATATATATATATATATTATATTGCCTAGACTAGAGCTTGTGTCTAATTTCAAGCTGTACTATGGAAAGTACTTACTAATTGATTGGTTAATATTATACCTTGGGGTCTTTTTTTTTCAATACGTATTCCGTTATGGTTTCGTCCCACTGATGAGTGTATCCTTCGTTAATGCTGTAGATGTTGCCTTTGTTGGGTATTTTGATGTTGCGGTCGGTCAACAGAAATTCGCCAAGTGCCTAACGGAGAGGTGTCAAACAAAACCGTTCGATAATTACTAATATATATATTTTAATTACTATCGATTTAACAGTCATTGTAATTACCGGATCCAACATGAACCCGTTGACACCGCTGCCTTTGCCCAACGACAACACCATCATGGTAGCGCTACCGTAGAGTGCGTAACCTGCAGCCACCATAGCTCTACCAGGTTGCAAAACGTTCTTGACGTTGATTTCGTTGCTCTCGTCAATCGTCCTGCGAGAAAAGATTTAACACATAAAATACAAAAAAATGATGTGAGCTGGCCAAGACTTATCCGATCATTTTTTTTTTGTTCTGTCAACAGGGTGTTGTTGTGAGTATTGCGGACTTGAAATAATAATTAATTCATACTTATAAATTCCGAAGATGGATCCGATGGATACCAGACAGTCTATGTTAGACGATCCGTCCAATGGGTCGAAGCACACGATGTACTTTCCCCGTTTTTCAGTCTCGATCTAGAAAACATCCAATCGTTAAGTACGTCACAAGCCAGTCGTTGTGAATACAATATCATAACAGACGTTATTCTGCTTGCAGATATCATAAGGTACAATTATCGTGGGACGTGTCGTCCCCCTATCACCGGTATAGTTACCTCTATGGTAGTTTCGTTTTCTTCGCTCACCAACATGTTCACCTTGTAGGACGAAGCCAACATGTTGATAAACAATTCGTTGCTGAGAACGTCCAATTTTTTCACGTCTTCCCCTTGCACGTTCGTGGAACCAGCCATGCCGTACCTGCGACGCAAGACGGGATTTTGATTGGCCATAAAAAAGAAAACCAAACAATAGGTATCTACCCCATTGCGCATACTTACAAATGATCCAGACCCGCCCGGCGCACGGCCGAGCTAACGGCTTTCACGGCTGTCTGTATGCTGGTCAACAATTGCGTTAGGTCTCCAGTGGCCGTAGGCACCTTTTTCTGTTCGTCCAACACGAACCTGGTGAGCGTCATGCAATTGGAGTCGAACACTTGTCGTTGCGACATGGTGCTGGTATGGTAATAGACGAAGGTACTAAGTATATGGTGTGATTTTGATTGTCCTTAAGTAAAACAATAAATTATTTTTTCAATAACGACAGTGAAAAATAATATCTATAAAGCGTCGGCTGATTTTTGTACAAAAACAATCTACGGCTGTGCTCGACCTATCCCGACAGGATCGAATATTATGTTGGCCACCCTCTCCCCCTCCCCACAAACTTGGGTTCACTTTGATATTTCCGTCACCCTAGGCTAGTGTAATAATATTATTATTATGTGTTCGAATAACGACCTCGTTCGATTTTTTGCAAATTAACCGTTTAAACTCAAACGCGGAAATGCAAAAAAATAACATTGAATAAAATCAATTGGGACGATCGTTTCTGACGTTGCACACGGAAGCTATTGCAATAATAATATAAATTATTGCATATATCTACCTCAACATAATATTATAATATACCTAGTCATTAGTTCTGATGTTCAATTATTGCTAATGTATTGCTAGCACGGCCATATCGAATTTTGTTGACAATAGTATTGTTGTTTTTACCAGCTCAAACCTTGTTTTCGCCCTAAAACTTTTCAAGCCGTTTATTGTTTGTATTGAAAATGGCCAAAGTAATTTAACGAGACATTAAAAAAAAATTGATGGTGCCATTTTTTTTTTCAAACGAGCTAATTGAGTTTTAGTTTATGGTGTGTAAGTTTAGGTATTGCCAAGTCCCGCCAAGAATATTCCAGTAGGAAAAGAACAAAAAAGTTTAGATTTATGGTTTACAAGTTGCACGTTAATTTTGTTTACAGAGAGTGTTTCTTAATCTTTTGTAGGACATAGCAGTGGGTAAAAAAATATTTATATACCCACCTGCGTTTATTATGAACGTTTTTTAATGTTGGTTAATTATTGATAATGAGTTTCTAACACGCCATTAACATTCCGTTTTTTATTAATAGTATATAATATTATGTGACCCGCATTTGAGAGTTATGCACATTCGACACATAAAAAACCAAGTAGTTTATATATATACATTTTCAAAATATAACGTTAAGTGCTTATGACTGAAAAATATACTTAAAACTGTTCCACGATATTTTTGAAATATTAATTTCATACTTTGCTGCCCCATTATGTTACTATTAACTATTAATAATATATTATTTAATGTGATGTATAGGTAAAGAACGAGTACAATTTGTTGTATGTAAATTGAGATCATTATTCAGTAATATTTATATTACTGTACCCTATTGGAACGGTTTAAAAAGCATATTATCTAGATCAAAGTACACTTGACACGACCGTGTGATGTTCAAAATAATATAGGTGTTACTATTATTGTTATTACCTACTTCAATAATGTAAAAAAATTTAATGTATATTATTGTTTTTTTTTTAAGTACCGTACTTGATCAATAGTACAGTTTTGTAAACACTCATCGATAAAATATGATTTAAATGTTATGCAAACCATTTGTTTTAGAATATATTCTAAAATCAATGTACTCGGGCAATGATTAATGATTAAAATTGTCTATTGTAATAACTAAATAGATATTTTTTCAACAGTGTATTATGAATTCTGATTACACATGTTTTGTAAACAAATACTAGATACTAGATAGGAAGGTACCTAATTATAACTATTATATCTATCAATAATAATTGCTAAGAATTTATATAATTTTTGTATCTATTCATATTATTCTTTAAGTAGGTTATTACAAAGAAAAGTTATTTTGTTTTTAAAGAATACGTTTATACATTTGTTTTAACCGTTATCTTCCTTAAGAAGCATAATAAAATGTATTGTTCCACTGAAATACGATTAATTCGACAATCATAATTGTTAATCTGGTTGGTTAATTTCTTATTGAAATATTTTTAAACGGTTCTAAATTTAAACTATAATTGGTTTTTTTGTAGCTTAGCAATGTCAAAAATAACTCCACGCTTAGTTTCATGGGATCGGGCGTTTACCCAGGAATTTCAACACATTACTTAAAATTTAAATATTTATAACTTTAAAAGTATAACTAGGTACTCCATAATAACCGCAATAATGGTCAGCCGACAGGTTTGACTTTATATATGAAGGGTTCAGGGAAAAAACCAGCAAAGTCACTTTTTAAAAATGGCAATTTTTTGTTATAAAATTCGTTTTGGTACAAAACGAATCTGTTCTTTACTTTTAAGCACGATTATAAACAAAAATATACAATATTTTTAAAAGTTTTAAGTATTTCTTTAACATTTTAAAATATATTTTAGCATTACTTAAACATGTTTTTCTTAGATTAGAAAAAAGTGACTTTTCTGGTTTTTTCCCTGTAGCCTTTATATGTACCAATACACAAAAATTACCTATTCCTATAATTCTGATGGTAGATAAAGATGAATAGTTTAAAACAAAAATATTGAAAAACATAACAAATGTTACTATTGATTTGGTTTTATAACATGTATAACGCGTTTGTTTAATACTATTTTACATAGGTATAGCCGTTATGGGTTTATTGGGCATCATTTAATTGATTGTGTGTTTGTCAACGAGTAGATCAAGGTTAAGTTATGTAGATATAAAAAAACATTTCCGTCTGAAATGATGAATTGAAGTACCACTATAATATTATTATTATTATTAATATGTTGTTGTTGTTGCGTTCTCGGTTATTACATATTTTATGTGGACCGTGTTAATCGTTTTAGCGACACGACGGTAGGAGGGAATAATTATCACTGACAAGTCTGTATTTTAAAATAAAATAAAAAATGATTAAAAATTCAAAGTAAACGTTTTTATATTTTTAATAATATTTATTATGAATAATTACCTCGGACACTGTGCTCGTGCTGATCAATGTGACTCGCTTCGGTTAGCCGACTTGGGTCTGTTGCCAGCTGACATTGAAGTAACGACTGCAACTATTCATAGACCGCACTGCACTGCCGGGACCACTCGGTTGTTGTTTACAGCCTGTGATAACACCAACATGTATAATAATACTATGTAATTACAGCTGTGTAATTGTATTGTAGTGCGACCGAGGGAGGGAACACAAGGCCCAGAAAGAAACAATCTCTGGGTTTTTTAATTAATGGTGTTTTCAATATTATATTGCCTCTGGTCGGCTCGTCCGTCTTATCTGCCAGAGTTCTCCTCCTCTAAAGTCACGTTTAATAATAATTAATATACATAAACATACACAATTATTATTATCGTCATTGCTTTGTTTGTTTATAAGTTTATAGTTTCATTTTGTAATTATATAAATAAATTATTTTACTCAAAATTTAATCCAAGGTGATGAGTGGCGCTCAAACTGACCGCAGCGGTACACAACGGGTTTTGCCAGAAATTTGTAAAAAAAAACTTAAAACGCCAAAAATAAAAAAAAAACACTATTTAATGGGGAAAAATCAAATAAAAAAATTATGTTAGTTCTATTACCACAGTTTATTATGTTACAATTAATTTGGCAAATTTTACCAGTTTTGCGACCTGGTATTTTTGGCAACCTGTGCTTTAATTTCCATAAAACTAAATGTCATAATGAATGAATATATTATATTTTTATTTTATTTAAATATCGTGTTCACTTTTACTGTTTAAAAACTTAAATCTGATATTGTAGTTGAAAAGAGAACTTCAAAAATGATTTTCGCTTAATCGTTAGAAAATATGTCCGGAGATGTCAAAAAGTTACCACTGTCATTTAACAGTACTTTAAGTACTGGTTACATCATACGGGCATCTTCAAGGACTGATGCTTAGCAAATTATTATAATTTCACTCAATATTTAAATTTTACTATTATCGTTGAACGTTGTGGTTTGTGTCGACATTATAATTGACTACGGTTCAAAGACCCATGTCTGTGTATTGTGTAACAATAACATACAATTATTGAATTGTATTCGTTTTAATCAATTCAGTCAACACATTGACTGTTTATCTATTAGGTAGAATTCTAAAAATTATTCTCTTGCTAAGGTTGTCAAATAGTACCTACAGATATAATATGAAGGGCACAGGGGAAGAAGGGTAGTAGTCCATGTATGAAAGTTTTAGAGTATAGCAAAAACAAAGTTCGTGAATTCCTCTCCCTCTTACATAAGAACAAAAAAAAATCACATTAAGTGCTATTCTACTAAATAATGTATTTATTTAAACAATCTATTGACACAAAAAAAACAAATTAATGGCATGTATTGAAAAAAAAATGTTCTTAAATGGACTACTATCCTTCTTCCCCTGTGCCCTTCATATTATTTTGTTCATTGGCGAAACTATCAAACATAGTAATAGGAATATATCTGGATTTAAATACTATAAACGCGTCTGTCTTATCTAATGTTTGAAGTAGGTATAATCTTGCCGAAATGAGACATAAATACAACTAAAACAAATTAAATTTATTTATGTGAATAGGCGCTCTTTGCTCAAATGATCAAAAAATGCATCAACAGGTCTCGTCCTGGACTTGATGTACAACCGCTTAGTTGCACGTGGAATGATTCAATTTGAACGAATCTCCTGTATGAACAACGGCACAGATGTTTTCGGAAAGTTTCGTATTAGGCTTTTCAAATGTAATATTCATTTTACGGCAACCGTACGGTAGTAAGGCATGGTGTTTGGACGCTAACTTGCCTATTTGTATGACAAACTTCTCCTGAAAACCGCCGAATGAAAGTTTTAAAATGAATATTAAAGTTTCGTACACTCGCACCGATTAAGAGATGTAAATTTTACCGATTTAATTGGGCATTTGTAATCACTGTTTAAGAATTTTCGGACAACCGGGTAAAAAATCAAATCCGTGAAGGTGACGACACAAAAGCTGGCCTTTTGTGTACTATAAACGGGATTCTTTGTCCATACGTCGTTGGTTTTCTGGTAGACGTCGATGGACACCTGGAAAACAAGAAATCGCAAAATATGGGCGTCTGTTCTTATTGCGATAATTATACAGCGTTGCTTGCCAAAACGTCTACCTGAAAATCGTCTTCCCAATTTACAGGCGTGAGAAATTCAAAATACCCACGTCCGATTGTCGTGGCAGCTGAATAATTGTAGCTTGTATCCATTAACTTGCGGTTCACAACATTGTCACAGGTCCAGAGTTCTTCGACTGTTAGAATGTACTGAAACATTAATAATTGTTGAATTTTTTTATCATAATCAAATCGTTATAATATGTATATTTTTTCCATGTTCAATAACAAAATATATACATATTAGCGTGTATTGGAAGTTCACTACAAAAATCATTCAAAATCCCACTTTTAACCCTTATACCATATAGTTATATAGTGTTTGGGAGAAAAAATAGGGTTGGCCGTAAAATCCATTATATCGATTACTTGAGAACTGAAATCAACTAATTTTTCTGTAACCTATCATACACAAGACCCAGGATAAAGTCGTGCACTGAAACAGAATTTCATTAAATAAGACATTTTAAAAATGGCAATCGATCATATTTTATCACGATAGTAAAAATTGAGGTATTCCTGTACTTCAAACACAAATTTTGATTTTTTTAATTTTAACAAATTATTAAGGGAAACGGACAAAAAAGTGTCAATATTTTTTACTAAATAATAGATAAATTATGAATATGTCAATTTAATAGGCAAAGACATCAATATATTAAACATAAATTATATTTTAAAAAGCTTCGCAAAGTCATATAAATATGTATACAAGAGACAGAGAAGATTTAAAAGGATTTACAATAAATTCTAAAAAGAACTTTGTCTTCAAGTCTTCATATTTATGAAATGTTGCCCTTTCTGTCCCAACTTAACGAATATAATTGCACTCTTACCGTTTCTGCCGTAATGATAGTACAATAAATCATTAAAAACATAACATATTTAGCTTCCAGTGACATTTTGATTTTCGACCTAATCGTTTTGAAGACGAATTTTAAATGAAAAAATATTGCACTGGTGACCGGAAACGTGTGTGCACCGATTTTTACCATATACTCACAACGAGTTGATTTAATGTTTGGCTCATTGCCATTCTGCGGCAATTCTGTTTGTGTACAATAGTATCTATATCATATGAAATTATTATAATTGTAATAATTACAATCATAATAATCAAAATTTCCAATTAAATATGCCGTAACTCGATGTTATACTTTAATGTATCGAGGATGAGCAGGTGCGAGGTCAAATCCTCGAGTATTTGACCTCGCACGGAATTCTCAAATCACAAGCAGGGTTGTTATACTTAAAACAAACTGTTTTAATGGCTCGTAAAAACTATAAAGATACAGATACTTAAATTTTTTTAAATAACTTACCTGAATATTTTCATCCAATTCTTAGGCAAAGTTCGAACCTTGGAAGTCTTTGGTGGGGTACAGTATTTTAATAGATCCGCGTGTCTTCCACAAATCATAAAAAATTTGAAAAAAATATGATAATTTAAAATATAATAGTTATTATGTCGTTTAAAATTCTGTAAAAACAATTAATTTTTATAATTAATGATACCAACGATTAAAAATAAAATACATTGTTATTAATGGTAACATTTAAGTAGTATCACGTGCAAAACTTAATACTTATGATACAGTTAAATACCAATTAAGATTAAGAATATAGAGGTTGGAGATAAGGGCAAAAATATATTGAAGCGATTATACTTGTGCAAAAATAAAACACGGCTTCAAACAAATAATACTATATTTTACAATGTGTGTAATATATTTAATGACAATTTTTATAATATGGTAAAAGATGAATAGATATATAGTGATACAATAATTATAAAGTATGATGTATAGTGGGAGTATGAAGTTGTTGGAATCTATTGGAATTGGAATATAATGTTTTAGACCAGCGTAGGTACGGATCGCTCATAGTAAGTTAATTAGTACTATAACCCCTTGTAATACATTGTGCATTGGACATTGGGTTTTACAACCATGTGTTTTTATTTTGGATGTCATTACTCAAGATAACTTTTAATCACTAGGTTAATTAAATCTTCGAGTAGAAAGTCTATAGGTCAGACATTGTACACACAAAATAGGTACTTTATGAGGTCAAAAATCAAAACTAGTTCCTCCATTTCTCCGAGTTCTGAAATTTAGACTGAGTAGTGCACTGGGCTTAGTGTTATTATTTATTTCCTATTTAGTTTGAGCAATGCATATTCTCAATGTCGTGTTCCGGAAAAATTTAACTGATGAAACGGAACTGATAAATTTATATCTCGTTATCGTTCCTATCTAGATCTGGTGATAACGTTTTAAATTATATTGTTCCGCTTCAATTTCAACAATAACGTTACCGAAGAAACGTTTATACCAAAGTTACGGAACAAATAAAATTGCTTCCTTTCCTGTATATACGTATTGTTCCGGCGGAAACTTGTTTAACTACACTATTCTGTTTTCGAGCCCAGAACTACATATTATTATGTAGACTTATGATTGCACGTAGATGGTTTGCTTTGAACGATTCTGCATTACGATAAGAAGAACAAATACTTTCGGCATAGCTCGTGTTAGAGTTTTCAATAGAACCCTTAACGCTATTTATATCAACCAAGTATAAGATGATATTCGAGAGATAGTTTGCTAAATGGAATAACATATTTTTCCTAAATAAAATTCTATAGTGGCGATTAGTCCTCAATAATATCGTTATATTATTATATAATATGTATTATTTAACGAAAGAGCGTTGTTACTTTTTTTATAAGACATTATATGACATCAGTATTCACAACGACCAGCTGAAAATATATATCTAGCTATTTTTTTTTTTATACCAGTGTTGGGTATTTTAACCATTCTGTCATTTATTCACTCAAGATACATCTAAAAAAACAAGGACAGTGTAAACCAGCACAGCCTAAACCAGTACATTATAAACTAAGCTCAATTATAAATTAGCATAGTTTAAACCAATGGGGTAAAAATCAAGTTCTGTCTAAACTAGTACAGTCTAAACCAAGCACAGTATAAACCAGCATTGTAAGAAATCACCTAAGTTGAGTCCAGTATCAACAGGTTGGCGTTGAAGCGTTTTCTTGAATGTGATTTTATAGGAAATTTTGCAACTATTGATTATATTTATTATAATATGTTAGCTCCTTTCAATGTAAGATATATACCTACTATGACCTACTATATGCCTTACTTACTGCCTCTCAAGATTTTCTAGGGGAACGAGTTGTTATATCTTATTTTACTGGTTCACGAGTGGTCAGTGACACAAGATTTGAGCCAGGATTTTGGCATAGCATGTTTTGTTCGAATTTACAACACTAAATTCTTGGACTCGTAATCAAGTTGCATGGAGGAAATCACATTCAAGAAAACGCTTCGATGCGAATTTGTGGACCCCACTTTGGTAATTTCTTACTGTACTGGTTTACACGGTGCTTGGTTTCGACTGTCAAATGACACACGTGTCATCCACGTGTCTTAACCATTTCTTTGGTTTGTGTTCTGTTGTTGGGATTGGTACCCGTCTTTGTAGACATTTCCATGGAATGGTTTGAACAAAAAGCTATCTCAACACAAACCAAAGAAATAGTGAAGTTAGGTGGGTGACGCATTTGTCATTTGGCAGCATGGAGTAGAAAAGCTTGTAGAGTTCTTGCTACATTTGAATTAAATTCACTCATAAAAACTACAATGGATTAAGAAGAAAGTAGTAAACTATTTTACTACTTAAACCCCACTCAAGATTTAATAATTGTTTGTAAACAGGTTTGATGAAAACGTGTCATGTGCACAGGTTTATTTGAATTTTAATGTTCCAATTACATTCCTTGAAATAATTGTAAACACAGCTGGTACATAGTATTATAACTGTTTTAAAGTGAATTGTCTTCATTTACGGTTACAGTTGTGCCAGCATTTACCGTAAACCCAAGACTTGGAAAACTTGTTTGCACGAATGTGTCAGGATCGAGGTTGGATTGTTTGGCTATATTTTTGAAGCATGACGTCTGAAAATATGTGTTAGTTTCGCGTTCAATTGTTGTCATAGAAACGATGCTCTTCGTAATGAGGTATTCTAATGCGTCGTAATCGATTTCTATACTATTACTAGTTTCTCTTCTAAAATAAGCCACCTCGATATAATTCTTTAGGTATTCTAAAATGTTTCTGATAACGCTATTGAACGCAGTGTGTGGGAACAACCGACGAAAATATAAAACCGCACCTTGCATGCGCTCTATCACCGGATTGCTCTTTCTGATTTCTGACATGAACTCTTCAAGACATTCGACTTTTTTAAGAGAACGCCTCACCTCTGAGCATTGTTTTACGATAGAATTTTTATGATTGCACCACGTCATCAATAGATCAGCGAAATGGCAACTCATGAATTGGTATGCTCGTTGAACTTTGCGTTTTACGTTCTCTTCAGATACAATCCTCCGGTTGGCGTCGACCATCAGCAAGTCATCCAGACCATAGCGCTGGTCGTAGAATAAAATATCCAAGAAGTCCAAATCTTGCCAACCGCGGTGTCTTAGAAGCGCGTTCAGTTGCACGACCTGCGTTTTCGTGTCAGGAGTTTTATTCAAAACCGTAGTGCCCGTAGCCGGTTCATAAGTAAACCCTAGGCGGCTGTAATCCGATATTAGGAACTCGCTTACAATGCTGTTTAACCTATCGTAGAGGTCGTCCATTTTGTCAGCGAAATTGGTTTGCCTTTCGTTAATCCACCATACTACCGATTTGGCCCAGCTATATGTGGAACTGCCGACACTCTTTTGATTCTGATATGACTTTGAACCACAAGACTTATTAAAATACACCGCCATTACATTGTCGTAGTCGTTCAGGAAATGGATAGTTTTTTCAATTTCTGTCGCGTGGTCGGGTTCTATGACTTGGCTCACGGAGTGGGGAATTTTGCTTAATTTGATTTCGTAGTCTTTGAAAGAATCAAGAAGGTCGTTTGTCGTTGTGATGTGAGGCGCTAAAAGGCTGAAATAGGAAAGCGCACCCTCCACGTACGTTACCAAATATTCCTTGCTGGCCAAGTCCCTGAAACAGACCACGCACGTTAACTTTTCACGGTCCGTCTCCATCTGTCGGCACTTGAGACCTATGCTCTTAACGTACAGGCTATACGTCATGAACATTAAGGCGCATTTGCAGCTCAGAAATCCGTAGGCTTGATGAATTTTGGAATCTACATTTGTTTCGGTTACTAACCGTGCTAGCAAGCGGTTTACATTGTAAGTGACACCGTTCTCCACGATTTGCAAAGGATCCAGCTCGGCCCATCCTGGACGACTCAGCAACTCGCTTATCTGTTGCACGTGGTCTTGCCCGTTCTTGATCGACGAAGAGGTGCTCGCACGAAAAGCCAAAGTGTAAAAAAGACAACGAGCCAACATTGTTGTGTCGAAATTAAAATGCATACTAAATTTCGATCTGTGAAGGTAATTTCCCGAAATTCCCTTACTCCGAATGGCTTTCACTGCACAAGTCTGATTTTTGAACCCTTCGACTGATCAAGTTATGAACGATTAACATACACTTCAAGACACGTATACTATTTAAACCGATGTGTACGTCACCGACAATCGAAGCGCTCAGCAAATTAGTTTACTGTATAAAAACTTCCCAAAGATAAACTAACAAATTATTTCCACAATACCGTGTTATTTAACGATCAAATGGCAATGTGGATAGCACACTTGGCTTCGTTGCCTACGTTGAATAATATACTTTTGTAGGTGTTTAAAGCTGAATACATACAGAACGCCGTATAGTAAACTGTATGTACATTGTACCTATATTGTATGAAGTAAAATATACCATATACCTGATGTTAGTAGGATTTATAGGTATGATATTTTAATTAGCTTCGATGCGGAGCTGAGTTTTTAATTTTGTGTCTGTACATTAATATGTTGTAAGCTACAGAACCGATTTATTTTTGTAACAACTCTATATATGTAGATCAGAAA